AGAGAGAGCACCTGAGACAGACGCCGAGGAGTGAGCCGCCCAGGAGGAGGGAGCACCGGGCCCTGGGGAGGGGCGGAGAAGGTTCTGGACGGCGAAGGAGGGCAGTGGCATGGCTTTGGTCCTTTCAGTGACGTAGAAAATGGAGTGTCATGGGGAGAGCGGAGAGAGGAGAGAGCCGTTTCTCTCCAGTACCAAGTCTTTACACTTAGAGCTCCAGCTGTCTGCTCTGCAAGTTTAAGCGTTTGGCCCCAGTGAGAACAGGAAGTCTCAGTTGTCTTGACTGTCTGATGGAACCCGAGGGGCGGGACCTGCATGCTGGTAAAAGTCAAGGTCAGTTCATTCTACCCCACACTTGAGCAGCAAGAACAAGGCTTGAATACGTTTTAGAATAAAACTTGCTCTAGGCTCCACATTTCTATGCCTTACAACTTCAGCAAGATTCTTAATCCTGAGTTCTAATTTGATTGCACTGTGGTCTGAGAGACTGTTATGATTTCAGTTCTTTTGCATTTGCTGAGAACCACCCGCCTCGGCCTCCTAATGTGCTGGGATTACAGGTGTGAGCCCCTGTGTCTGACCTGAAAACTCTTTTCTTTTAAGAATTGTTGCGTGTTGGCCCACACTCTCTTCTGGCTTGTAGGGTTTCTTCTGAGAGATCTGCTGTTAGTTTTATGGGCTTCCCTTTGTAGGTGGCCTGGCCTTTCTCTCTGGCCTGCGCTTAACATTTTTTCCTTTATTTCGACCTTGGAGAATCTGATGATTATGTGTCTTGGGTTGATCTTCTCATGGAGTATCTTAGTGGGGTTCTCTGCATTTCCTGAATTTGAACGTTGGCCTGTCTTGCCTAGGTTGAGGAAGTTCTCCTGGATAATATCCTGACGTGTTTTCCAACTTGGTTCCATTCTCCCTGTCCCTTTCAGTTACTCCGATCAGTCATAGGTCTTTTTATATAGTCCCATATTTCTCGGAGGTTTTATTCATTCCTTTTCATTCTTTTTTCTCTAATCTCGTCTGCCTGCCTTATTTCAGCAAGATAGTATTCCATCTCTGACATTCTTTCTTCCACTTGATTGATTTGGCTATTGATACTTGTGTATGCTTCACGAAGCTCTCGTGCTCTGTTTTTCAGTTCCATTAGGTCATTTATGTTCCTCTATAAACATATTCTAGTTAGCAGCTCCTGTATCCTTTTATCAAGGTTCTTAGCTTCTCTGCATTGGGGTAGAACATTCTCCTTTACCTAAGCAAAATTGGTTATTACCCACCTTCTGAAGCCTACTTCTGTCAATTCATCTGTCTCGTCCTCCGTCTGGTTCTGCGCCCTTGCCGAACAGGTGCTGCCATCATTTGGAGGAGAAAAGGCACTCTGGCCTTCTGGGTTTGCAGGCTTCGTTGCTGTTGACTCTTTCTCAACGTCATGAGTTTGTCGCATTTAGATCTCTGAGGCTGCTGACCTTTGGATGAGGTTTTTGTGGGGCTTTTTTTGTCGATGCTGTTGTCATTGCTTTCTGTTTGTTTTTCTTTCAGTAGTCAGGTCCCTCTCCTGTAGGGCTGCTGCAGTTTGCGGGGGTTCGCTCTCCTGCCTCTGACGATGTCACTTGAGGAGGCTGGAAAACAGTAAAATGGGTGCTTCTTCCTTCCTCTGGGATCTCTGACCTTGAGGGGCACTGAGCTGATGCCAGTAGAAACACTCCTGTATAGGGTGTCTGACAACTCCTGTTGGGGGCTGTCACCCAGTTGAGTAGCACGGGAAGCAGGACCCGTTTAACCAGGCGCTTTGGCTGTGCCTTGGTGGAGGGGGTGTGCTGTGCTGGAGCCCACCCATCTGGGCTGCCCAGATTCCCTAGAGGTAGCAGGAGGAAAGACTAATCTGCTGGTCCACGGAGACTGTGACTGTCTTTTTTTTTTTTTTTTTTTTTTTTTTTGAGACAAAGTTTCGCTCTTGTTGCCTAGGCTGGAGTGCTGGAGGGCACTGGCGTGATCTTGGCTCACAGCAACCTCCGCCTCCCAGGTTCAAGTGATTCTCCTGCCTCGACCTCCCGAGTAGCTGGGCATGTGCCACTATGCCCAGCTAAATTTTTGTAAGTTTAGTAGAGACAGGGTTTCTCCAAGTTGGTCAGGCTGGTCTTGAACTCCTGACCTCAGGTGATCTGCCCGCTTCGACCTCTCAAAGTGCTGGAATTACAGGCGTGAGCTACCGCACCAGCGAGACTGTCTTATTCTTTATTGCAGAATCTTTTCTTCAAGCTTTCCTCCAGGCAACTCTCTAAACCACTGACCTGGAGCAGGTTTTATTGACCAGACCTGACCCTGGGGCTCATGTAGCAGCCATGTTAACTGGCCACCCTGATGCAGGCTGTGCCATGAGTCTGAATGTTTCCTTCCCTGCAGGTACTATTTCATCTCCACGGCAGGGACACTGCCTTCATCTTTTTGTACCTCTCAGGGCTGTTTTAAGGAGAGAAGTATTTGGCAACTTGAGCAAGAAAGAGTGGCCACTTCAAATCACATCAAATATATGAAAACTCAATTTTATTTCTAAATTCCTTGAAAACAGATTGATGGCACCTTTTCATTTGAAAAGGACATCCACGTTACAGGATTTTAAAAACAACTAATTTATGTCATTGACAGATTTACTTTTGAGGTCCTGAAGCTGTACAACACAGCCCTCCACCAGAGGGCTGGTAACTCTGCAGACCTGACTTTGTCGCCCAGGCTGGAGTGCAGTAGTGCGAACTCAGCTCACTGCATCCTCCACCTCCTGGGCTCAAGCCATCCTCCCACCTCGGCCTCCCTAGTAGCTGGGACCACAGGCACGAACCACTGTTGTATATTTTTTTGGAAGAGATGGGGTTTCATCACGTTGTCTAGGCTAGTCTCAAACTCTGGGACTCAGGCGGCCCACCCACCTCAGCCTCCAAAAGTGCTGAGATTACAGGAATAAGCCACCATACCCAGTCAGCTCTGTCATTTTTTAATAAACATTTTACTGTTTGTGGACAAACTTCACAAAAAGCTAAAAGTTTTTGTGGAAAAACTTCAATATGAACTGCCCAATCTAAAGTAAAATATAAAATGAAACTAGATTGTTATCCATGAATCTCTGTTGTGCCTATCTCCTTATCAATGTGCCTAGACTCTTGTTCAGACCATCTGGCAAAAGGGCCACCTTCTGACTTTCACAGGCCCTACACACTTACGTCTTCCTGGGCCCCTCCCTCTGTAAAAGAAAAACATTAAAAATTATGCTATGACTGCAAAGACTAACAATCAAGGCTGAATTCATTATTACTCAGATTTTTTTTCTTGTAATTGTAAAAGAAATTACATGAAAACATTTTCTGGGCTCTAACGAGTACCGGGGGTCACTATCCCTGTGGCCTCTGGGACTTGCCACTCCATCAGCCCTGCTGGCCATGACAAAGCGGGGCACCCTGAGAAGCTGCTCCCCAATGCTTGTCCTGAGCTCAGCCACCATCCTCCCCACGTGATTTTGAAAGCAGAACAGAATTCACTCACTTCAGTTAAAAAGAAAAAGGGATGCAGGAAGAAGTTCTGCATTGTAAGTAGAGGGAACCAGCAAGCAGCAAAGAGCCCCGCAAAGACCATCCACAGGGAAACCAAAATGCAAGACAAATAATTACATGTGTGAACGTAAGGCAGGGACTCTTCTGCCCCACCTCCCCCACCAAAAATAACATTATTCCAGAGGAGAGGGAGTGTCACTTTCACTTGAGTCTTCATCAATTCTCTTCCATAATTGGGCATGCGCTCCCCATTACTTTACGCAGAATGAACAAACGTGCTTGAGCAAATGCCAACAGGACATGGATTCAGGCAGGCAGCACGTGCACATACACAAGCTCACAGCTCTTCCTTCTCTCTGTCCTGCTGGGGCAGCAACGTTCCTGGGCTTTTCAGGTGGGAAGAGAGAGAGAGGAGGGGGAAAAGGAGAATCACAAGTAAAAAACTTGAGAGGATGGGATTAGGAGATGGGTTGAGAAGAAAAACTTACAGGAGTGAGCACAGGACTAAGGAGAAGAAACGATGGCAATGAAAAAGGAATCGGGCTACTCATCCGCTGGGCAGTGTTTGGAAAATATGTGTATAGGACATAAGGGTAATTTCATTTTTTTAAATGCATGATATGTGTGTATTTTAGTTAAACATTTTTGTGAGACTGAAACACGTGAATCTTGGCTTTTAAGCTTCATAAGGAGAAAGTACAAGGTGCACTCAATCAGTAATTCCATTATAGTTCTTCCAGAATAGGCTGGGAATGGTGGTTCATGCCTCTAATCCCGGAACCTTGGGAGGCTGAGGCGGGAGGATTCCTTGAGCCCTGGAGTTCAAGACCAACCTGGGCAACATAGCAAGACCTCATCTCTACAAAAGAGGATTAGCTGCGCATGATGGCACATGCTTGTGGTCCTAGCTACTTGGGAGGCTGAGTTGTGAGGACTGCTTGAGTCCTATAGGTCAAGGCTGCAGTGAGCCCTGAGCACACCACTGCACTTCAGCCTGGGTGGCAGAGCAAGACCCTATCTCAAAAAACAAAACAAAACAAAATCTTTGGAGGCAAACATCATGGAGGCAAAATATTGGCATATGTTATTTATTGCAATATTCACTATCAGTAGGTGCCTGCATATGCAGGCAAAATTCTTAGCTATGGTTAAATAAATAAATGTTTACATTCATCATTTTGTCACCTGGTGACACGGAGTGCTCTGGGTAAAAAATAGTTGTATAATAAAACCTTCAATTTCACTGAGCTTAAACTCTCATCTCATGAAGTTTTTCCAGTCTTCTATTCAAAGGAACGACAGAACTGCTTCCCTCATCCTTTTCAAGTAGACATAGTTCTACAAAGAGCAATCCTTACGAGACATCTCCTTCAGGTGAAGCAACCACCTCACCCCATTCCAGTGTGAGAAGCACATTCTTGATGACATCACGGGTGCCACAAGTGACAACGTCCACAGACTCCACTCCAGGAACCACAGAGGAAACATCAACACCTGGAAGGGAAAACACGGCCCTCATCCCCTCAGCAGGCTCAGTAACAGCTACGCTAGCGGGACAATCAACAGCAACTTCTTTGAGAACCTCTAATCAGGAAATATCAGCTTCATCTCAGAACCACCAGACTCATGGCATGGAGACCAGCAGAGAAGCTCAAACCACCACCCTCACACAGATGTCCACATCACCTCTTTCATCTCCCCCAAGTGTACACAATGTGACAGCAGCTGTTTCTCAGGAGACAGCACCTCCAGGTGAAATAACCTCCTCATCCCCTGCCAGTGTCACCAACACGCCCGTGATGACACCAGAGGTGACAAGCTTCACAGACTCCACTCTTGGAAACATAGGGGAGACATCAACACCTGTTACTGAAAGTCTCAGGCCAGTCACTTCAGCAGTCTCAGTAACAGGTGAGTCAGAAGGACAATCGGCAGAAACTTCCTCAAGGTCTTCTATCCAGGGCACAACAGCTTTTTCTCAGAACCAGCAGAATCAGAGCACAGAGACCACCAGAGAGTCTCAAACCAGTACCCTCACACAGATGATTACATCAACTCTTTCCTCCTCCCCACGAGTACACAGTGTGACAGGGACTGTTGCTCAGGAGACATCCCCTCCAGCTGAAAAAACCACCTCATCTCTTTTCAGTGTCAGCAACACACCCATGATATCAAAGACTAGGATAATGACAACCTTTACAGAGTCCACTTTTAATAACACCGAGGAGACATCAACACCTGGAACTGTAAGTTCTACCCCAGTCCCCTCAGCAGCCTCAATAACAGCTGAGCCAGAAGGACAATCCACAGCAACTGCTTCAAGGACCTCTACTCTGGACACATCATCATTTTCTCAGAACCACCAGACTCAGAGCATGGAGACCACCAGAGACGCTCAAACCAGCACCCTCTCACAGAGAACTACATCAACTCCTTCCTTTTCCCCAAGTGTACTGAATGTGACAGACACTGTTTCTCAGGAGACATCCCCTCCAGATGAAAAGACCACGTCATTCCCCTTCAGTGGCAGCAACACACCCATATTGACATCAAAGATTATAACAATGACAACCTTTGCAGAGTCCACTTTTCATAATACTGAGGAGACAACACCTGTTACTGAAGGTTTTAGGCCAGTCACTTCAGCAGTCTCAATAAAAGGTGAGCCAGAAGGACAATCACCAGAAAATTCCTCAAGATCCACTATCCAGGGCACAACGGCTTTTTCTCAGAACCACCAGACTCAGAGCACGGAGACCACCAGAGAATCTCTAACCACCACCCTCACACAGATGCCCCCATCCACTCCGTTTTACTCCCCAAGAGAACATAATGCGACAGGGACTGTTTCTCAGGAGACATCTACTCCAGCAGAAACAACAACCTCATCACCCTCCAGTTTCAGCAACACGCCCGTGATGACATCAAAGCATGTAACAATGACAACCTCCACAGACTCCACCCTCGGAAACACAGGGGAGACATCAGCACCGCTTCCTGGGAGTTTTATGCCAGCCACCTCAGTAGTCTCAATAACAGCTGAGCCAGAAGGACAATCATCAGCAACTTCCTTAAGGACCTCTGCTCAGGACACATCAGCTTTTTCTCAGAACCACCAGTCTCAGAGCACGGAGACCACCAGAGACGCTCAAGCCAGCACCCTCTCACAGAGAACTATGCCAACTCTTTCCTCTTCCCCAAGTGTACTGAATGTGACAGACACTGTTCCTCAGGAGACATCCCCTCCGGAGGAAGTGACCACCTCATTCCCCTCTAGTGTCAGCAACACACTCATAGTGAAATCAAAGACTGTCACAGTGACAACCCTTACAGAGTCCACTTGTAATATCACTGAGGAGACATCGGCCCCTGGAACTAGAAGTCCTACCCCAGTCCCTTCAGCAGCCTCCATAACGGCTGAGCCAGAAGGACAATCAGCAGCGGCTTCCTCGAGGACCTCTATCTGGGACACGTCAGCTTCTTCTCAGAACTACCAGACTCAGAGCACAGAGACCACCAGGGAATCTCAAACTAGCATCCTCACACAGATGATCACATCAGCTCCTTCCTTCTCCCCAAGTGCACACAATGTGACAGGGACTGTTTCTCAGGACACATCTCCTCCAGGTGAAACAGCTACCTCATCCCTCTCTAGTGTCACCAACATACCCATGATGATATCAAAGACTATAACAATGACAACCTTCACAAACTCCACTCTTGGAAACACAGCAGAGACATCAACACCGCTTCCCGAAACTCTTACGCCAGTCACCTCAGCATCCTCAATAACAGCTGAGCCAGGACAGTCACTAACAACTTCCTCAAGGACCTTTCACCAGGACACAACAGCTTTTTCTCAGAACCACCAGAATCAAAACATGGAGACCACCAGAGATGCTCCAACCAGCACCCTCCCGCAGAGAACCACACCGACTCCTTCCTCCTCCACAAGTGTATCTAATGTGGCAGGAACTGTTGCTGAGGAGACATCCCTGTCAGGTGAAAAAACCACCTCGTCTTCCTCCAGTGTCAGCAACACATCCATGATGACATCAAAGGCTATGACAATGACAACCTTTACAGAGGCCACTCCTAAAAACACTGAGGAGATAGCAACACCTGGAACTAAAAGTCCTACCCCAGTCCCCTCAGCAGCCTCAGTAACAGCTGAGCCAGAAGGACAATCACCAGCAACTTCCTCCAGGAGCTCTGCCTCGGACACTACAGATTTTTCTCAGAACCCTCAGAGTCAGAGCATGGAGACCACCATAGCATCTGATACCGACACCCTCACACAGAAGCCTACGTTAAGTCTTTCCTCCTCCCCAGGTGTACTGGATGTGACAGAGACTGGGTCTTGGGAGACATCCCCTCCAGATGAAATGGCCACCTCATCCCCAGACAGTGTCAGCAACACACTCATGATGACATCAACAATGCCATCCTCCACAGAGTCTACTCTTAAAAGCACAGAGGAGATATCAACACCTGGAACTAAACTTCCTTCTCTAATCATCTCAGCAGCCTCCATAACAGCTGAGCCAGAAGGGCAATCACCAGCGACTGCCTCAACGTTCTCCACCCGGGACCCAGCAGCTTTTTCTCAGAACCACCAGACTCAGAGCATGGAGTCCACCAGAGAATCTCAAACCAGTGCCCTCACACAGAGAACCACATCAACTCTTTCCCCTTCCCCAAGGGTACTCAATGTGACAGAGAGTGTTTCTTGGGAGACATCCCCTCCAGATGAAATGGCCACCTCATCCCCATACAGTGTCACCAACACGCCCATGATGACATCCAAGACCATAACAATGACAACCTCCACAGACTCCACTCTTGGAAACCCAGAGGAGACGTCAACACCTGGAACTAAAAGTCCTGCCCCAGTCACCTCAGCGGCCTCAATAACAGCTGAACCAGAAGGACAATCAATAGCAAGTTCGTCCAAGGCCTCTACTCAGGACATACCAGCGTTTTCTCAGAATCATCAGACTCAGAGCATGGACACCACCAGAGAATCTCAAACCACGACCGTCACAGGAGTGGTGACATCAGCTCCTTTAACCTCACCACGTAGACACACTCCGACAGGAAGCTTCTCTCAGGAGACAGCCCATCCAGATGAAATGGCCACCGCCTCCCTCTCTAGTTTCAGCAACACGCCAATGATGGCATCCAAAGTTGTAAGGAGGACAACCTCCACACGCTCCACTCTTGAAAACACAGGGGAGGCATCCGCACCCGTTACAGGAAGTCTCATGCCAGTCACCTCAGTAGCCTCAATGACAGCTGAACCAGAAGGAGAATCACCTGCAACTTTCTCAGGGACTTCTACTCAGCACACGGCAGCTTTTCCTCAGAACCAGCAGACTCACGGCATGGGGACCACCGGAGTATCTCAAATCAACACCCTCACGCTGGTTGCATCGACTGTTTTATCCTCGCCAAGTGGACTCAATCTGAGTGGAACAGTTTCTCAGGAGACCCTCCCTTCTGGCGGAACAACCACCTCGTCCCCTTCCAGTGACAGCAGCACATTCCCGGCAGCGTCGGAGGTGTCCGGAACGCCAGCCTCCACAGAGTCCGCTCTTGGAAACACAGAGGAGACATCACTATCCGTAAGTGGATCCATCTCTGCCATCACTTCTAAAGTTTCGACCGTATGGTGGTCAGACGCACTGTCAACGGCACTGTCCCCCACGTCTTTACCTCCAGAACTATCCACAGCTCTCCACACCCACCTGAGTGAAGGTGCAGAGACCACAGGACGGCCTCACGAGAGCAGCTCAGTCTCTCCAAGCGCGTCTCAGGAGACGTTTACTCCACGTGAAGCAACATGGACTTCTTCACTCTCCAGTGAAGGCAGCACGACTTGGTTACCAAAAGAGCTGCCCTCAACACCACCAAGTGCTGCCACTGTGCTTGTCACAGGAAGTCCAGCTACGTGGACAGCTGGCACTATTCCAAGAGTCCCTTCTGAGGTCTCAACAACAGGGGAACCAGGACAGCCCGCCACACGCCCCTCCCATAGCACAACTCTCCCAGAAACGACAGGGGCAGGTGCCCAGACACAATGGACACAAGAAACAGGGACCACTGGAGAGGTTCGTGTCCACAGCCCAAGATACGGTGTGACCCAGATGACAGAGGCAGCCACATCCCCATCTTCCTCACCTATGCTGGATGGACACACACAACAAATTACGATGGCACCATCGACGTATCGTTCAACAATACACCCCGTAAGCACCTCTCCTCAGAGATCATCGGCTGTTTCCCAGAGTGGTCACACTCCAGCCTCGAAGACCACACGGGAATCCCAAACCACGAGGTCCATCTCCCCCGTGACTGACGGCTTCCAGACAGCCACCACCCCAGCTTCTTCCTTCACAGCCAGCCAACACCCGCCCTCAGAAATGGCTCCTCAGGACGCATCCACCATAAGTGCAGCAACAACCTTCACCCCAGCGCCCACCAGGGACGGTCACACAACCCAGGCCCGAACCACAGCACTGCAGGCGGCACCCAGCAGCCCCGACGCCACCCTGGGGCCCTCAGGAAGGACATCGCCTTCCATCACAGGGGCCATTCCTCCGGCCACCTCTGTGGTGTCAACACCAGTGGGCGCAGAGGGACGGTGGACAGCAGCCTCTGCCAGCGCATCACCCAACACAGCGCCAGCTATGACCCAAACCCACCAGGCTCGGGGCACAGAGGCCTCTGGAGGAACACAGACCAGCCAACCAGCCTCCTCAGGGTCAGGCACCATCGCGGCTGGCTCGGCCACCCCTTCCTCATCCAGGACGAGTGGCACAACACCTTCAGGAAGCCACGGAATGTCCACCTCAGGCGAGACCACGTGGTTCTCACCAAGACCGTCCAGGGACACTCACACCCCCCAGTCAACAAGTGGATTGCCGTCCCCCTCAGCCAGTCATGGTGTCACCCCAGAAAGCACGGGAACGGGGTCCCCCTCAGCCAGTCCTGACGCCACCCCGGCAAGCACGGGAACGGGGTCCCCCTCGGCCAGTCCTGACGTCACCCCGGCAAGCACGGGAACGGGGTCCCCCTCGGCCAGTCCTGACTGCCGCCCCGGCAAGCACGGGAACGGGGTCCCCCTCGGCCAGTCCTGACGCCACCCCGGCAAGCACGGGAACGGGGTCCCCCTCATCCAGTCCTGACGCCACCCCGGCAAGCACGGGAACGGGGTGCCCCTCGGCCAGTCCTGACGCCACCCCGGCAAGCACGGGAACGGGGTCCCCCTCGGCCAGTCCTGACGCCACCCCGGCAAGCACGGGAACGGGGTCCCCCTCGGCCAGTCCTGACGCCACCCCGGCAAGCACGGGAACGGGGTCCCCCTCGGCCAGTCCTGACGTCCACCCCAGGCAAGCACGGGAACGGGGTCCCCCTCGGCCAGTCCTGACTGTCACCCCGGCAAGCACGGGAACGGGGTCCCCCTCGGCCAGTCCTGACGCCACCCCGACAAGCACGGGAACGGGGTCCCCCTCGGCCAGTCCTGACGCCACCCCGACAAGCACGGGAACGGGGTCCCCCTCGGCCAGTCCTGACGCCACCCCAGAAAGCATGGGAACGGGGTCCCCCTCGGCCATTCCTGATGCCACCCCAGAAAGCATGGGAACGGGGTCTCCCTCGGCCATTCCTGATGCCACCCCAGAAAGCATGGGAACGGGGTCTCCCTCAGCCAGTCCTGACGCCACCCCAGAAAGCATGGGAATGGGGTCCCCCTCAGCCAGTCCTGACGCCACCCCAGAAAGCATGGGAATGGGGTCCCCCTCAGCCAGTCCTGATGCCACCTCAGAAAGCATGGGAACGGGGTCCCCCTCAGCCAGTCCTGATGCCACCCCAGAAAGCATGGGAATGGGGTCCCCCTCAGCCAGTCATGACACCACCCCGGCAAGCACAGGAACGGGGTCCCCCTCAGCCAGTCCTGATGCCACCCCAGAAAGCATGGGAACGGGGTCCCCCTCAGCCAGTCCTGATGCCACCCCGGCAAGCACGGGAATGGGGTCACCCTCAGCCAGTCATGACGCCACCCCAGGAAGTGGGGGAACGGGGTCCACCATGGTCCCCTTTTCTCCCACCCTCTCTCCGGTCCCCACCGCAGGGAGACCCCCAGGAGAGGCCAGCCTCACCTCTCCCAGCCCAGTCTCCTGGGCGGTGCAGACTCGGGGGACAGGAGACGGCCGCGGTTCCCCGGCGACCCCCGGCTCCTCCACGCCCACAGCCGTGCCTCCACGGTTCGCATTCAGTGGGCAGACATCGCCACAGCCCGAGGCCCGCACTGGGTCCCCTTCATGGTCCCGCAGAACCCTCAGCACGGCCCTCGTGGGCGACAGCCGCGGCCCGTGGACAGCAGGACCAGCCCAGTCCCCTGAGGCCAGTCCTAGCACCCTGCGCGATGTCACCCCTCCTGCTCCCTCCACAGTGGTCTCCAGCAGGGAGGGCCTTGCGGCCACCAGCCGGAGCTGGGTCATCCGTGAGACTGCAGGGGTGGCAGTCCTGACCCCGGTCCACGCCGGCCACGGCGCCCTGACCATGGCCACGTGGGCGCCTGCCTTGTCGGGGGGCGTCTCAGGCATGCCCAGCCCTGAGCACCCTCCAGCCACTCAAGGGGGGGCCCCCGCGACCAATCCCACCGCCAGATCCACGCATAGGAGCTCCACACGTGATTACAGTGACGCAGCACGTGCCACGCCGACTCCGTCAGTGTCCCCAGTCCAGACCACTCCAGAAGCTTCCTCGGCATCTCAGCACCCTGAGAGCGCAGATCCCACTCCACCGCCATCCGGAGACGTGGCCCCCTCCAGTCACACAAGCCCAGCTCGGACCACACCGGGTTTCTCTCCCTCCGGCAGCCACTCCTCATTCTCTCCAGCAGCCCCTGGCCCTGCTGCCACGCCCAGCTCCGCCACCCGGTTCACAGGCCACGCCACCCCGCTTCCTGTGACCAGCACCTCCTCGGCATCCACAGTGTCCTCGGGGCCAGCTCTGATGACGGAAACACCTGGTAGCTGCCCCCTTCCTTGCCTTGGTCTCTCCCAGTGACCCCCTGGGTTCAGGGGAAGGCACCAAGGAGTCTCAGCCTTGAGAGCATTGGTGAATTACCTGGTGGGGCTGAGTTAGGTCCCACAGAGGAGGCAGCCATGGGTGTGGTGGGCGACAGGCCACCCTCCTCCCTGCCCCCATAGAAAAGTGCTTGTGTCACAGGCCAGGCGTGGTGGCTCATGCCTGTAATCCCAGCACTTTGGGAGGCCAAGGTGGGTGGATCACGAGGTCAGGAGTTCAAGACCAGCCTGGCCAACATGGTGAAACCCTGTCTTCACTAAAGACTCAAAAAATTAGCTGGGCGTGGTGGCTCACACCTGTAATCCCAGCTACTCAGGAGGCTGAGGCAGGAGATTTGCTTGAACCCAGAAGGCAGAGGGTACAGTGAGTGGAGATTGCACCATTGCACTCCAGCCTGGGTGACAGGGCAAGACTCCACCTCGAAGAAAGAAAAACCTCTTACGTGGAGAGTGGTTTGGATATGACCAGTAGGTAGATAGACAAGGAGGTTTCTAGCTCTCTCTTCCAGCTCCTGATTTCTTTGAATCTCTCTGACTCTGCTGTTCTCTGACTGTAAGAACCACCCCTGTCTTCTCTGTTCACATGTCCAGGAATGACGACACCCTCCCTTAAGACAGACAGTGGGAGGAACACAGCCGCATCACTGCCCCCAACAACCTCCCGAACCATCACCTCCGCCATTCCCAACACTTCCACAGACACCCGATCCACAGCTGCCCCCGTCCCCATCCCATCTGGGAAAGGTGAGTCATGCCGTGGAGGTGTGCCCCATGCCTTTTGAGGGGTGACATAACTAAAGGTTCCTTCTCAGCCTGCTGGCCCATGGTCTCTGCTCTCTTGGGTGGGAAGGGCCTTTCCCGAGGACAGGGAGACTGCATCAGAGTCGCTGTGTAGGCGGGCTTTGTGCATGGAGCTGGAGACAGAGAAATGAGCCCAGTGCCATTCAGCAAGGGACAGATCACTATCTGGTAGAGGCAGTTAGAGGATTCGTTCCGGGATATAAGCACACACAATGGAAAATGCCTCAGGGACGTGGACCAGGGGCCGGGAGGAGGGTGGGAACAGCTGGAACAAAGGTGTGAAAGGTATGGCAGTGAAAAGTACTCCCTGCCCTGCATGGGGAGGGGAGCCCCGAAGCCTTTGGGGTTGCTGAAGATGAGAAGAAGAGGAGCCAAGTGCGGCTGGCATGCGGGAATCCTGTGGGTCAGGAGAGCCAGGGAGGACTTCGGTTAGATTTGCATTTTACAAACCGCACCCAGTGGCTGGACTGGTCAGATTGACGGGGAGTGAGGAGGCCAGGAAAGCCTGCCGGATTCCAAGCAGGACCAGGGGAGGGCCCCAAGGAGTCAGCAGCTGTGAGAATCGTTTGGGACAAGGTTTCTCAAACGGGAGCCTAAGGGCCTCTAGGGCGGCCTAGGCTAAATTGGAGGGGTCTTCAAGTTTCTCTGGAGAAATGCCATCTTAGGAAACAAGTGTCACTTCCTGAAAAGGACATGTGCAGTTGCTCAGCTTCCCTGGATTGGGCTTTTGTCTTTTAACCCTGAAAAGGATCGGGACTGCTGTAAGAGACTGAGAATCAGTTGCTGGCATTCTGACAGCAGGACCCAGTTTTTCTCCAGGCTGGGGAAGGATACCAGGCACAGTGTAGGGAGCAAAATGACACGTTCAACGCGGGTGGAGAGGGAGCAAGAACCCTTGACGGCTGGCAGGGCCTCTGGGGCACCGGGGAACAGAGGGCAGGTGCAGGGCAGCCTGGGGGGAGTCTCTGGGATCCCTTCCAGCCCTAAAGAAGGCCCAGGCCCACCTGGACTTCCTGCTCTTCTTTGTCCTGGCCCAGGAGTTTCCCTCCTCCCCTACGGGTCGGGCGCTGGGGACCTGGAGTTCGTCAGGAGGACTGTGGACTTCGCCTCCCCGCTCTTCAAGCCCCTGACTGGCTTTCCCCTTCGGCTCCTCTCTCCGGGATTCCCTCTACGTGAGTTTGCCACTGCGACCGCGCAGCCTGAGCTCCCTGGGCCCGCTTCTCTCTCCAGCTTCACGATGGAACCCAGGAACTGGCAGTGGAAGCAGCCCTGGCTGGGCCCCTGGTTCAGTTCACCTCCTCCAGCCGAGCAGCCGGGAGCCGGGAGCCAGGCGAAGGCTGCCCGCCCGTGTGCCCTGCCCCCAGCTCGCCGCTCCTTCTGCGGGGCCTTCTTCTAAGCAAAAAACCTGCACTTGGGAAACTTGAATTCCTGTCATCCCCATGTTCTGTGATTAGTCTCTGGCCCCTGGGTCCCTGTCTCCTGGAGCAGAGTTGGAAGGGCAGTCCTGGCTCCTTCACCTCTGAGAGGAGTGAATACACCATCAGAGGGTGACTCAGCGATGGAGAGAGGGCTGCACCCCCACCAAGGGATGAGTCATAGAGAGAGCTCTCCACCCCCTGAGCAAAGGAGACAGAGTTCTCTACCCCTTGAGAGATGGAGAGACATCTCCACCCTCTGAGTGATGGAGAGAGAAAGAGATCTCCACCCTCTGAGCGATGGCGAGAGACATCTCCACCCCCTGAGCAGTGGAGAGAGGTCTCCACCCCATGAGTGATGGAGAGAGGTTTCTACCCCCTGAGAGATGGGGAGGGGGTCTCCACCCTCGAGCATCACCTGATGTGTCACAAGCTTCAGGATGAGGCCCAGAGGACTGGCCAAGAGAGGTGTGCCTGTGAGGGGCTGGTCCACACCAGGGGTCTGCACTGAAACAGGACCAAGCCCATCACCTGAGGACCCAAGGGACGACCCATTCGGAAAGGTCTCTCCCGAAGTCAGGACATAGGACATGACTTCAGGGGTTGTTATAGTCCCTAACGCTCTACCCAGAGAGGCCCCTGGGGGTCGGCTTCTGAGGACGTTTCCTTCCCACCTCCCTCCCTGAATGCTCTCACAAAACCCTTGTGCTCAGTTCACAGACAACGGCCAGATCATCTTCCCAGAGTCAGACTACCAGATTTTCTCCTACCCAAACCCGCTCCCAACAGGCTTCACAGGCTGGGACCCTGTGGCCCTGGTGGCCCCGTTCTGGGATGATGCTGATTTCTCCAATGGTCAGGGGACCATATTTTACCGGGTGAGCCTTTCAAAGCCTGGCAGTCAGGATCCCCCAGCAGCTGGCAGGGGAGGCAAAGAGCTGTGTGGAAGGCATTGCCAGAGTTACTGCTGCCACAGCCAGGGCCCCTGCAGGCAGAGGACTGAGGCTTAAATATGGGTGTGGAAGGAGGCAGGCAAGGGATATTAAGCTGATTCTGGAATACCCCAACCCAATCATGAGAAGACCTGCAGCTGTCAGGGGTGGGGGCTAACAGTGCAACACTTGATTGTAAAATAAGGCTGTAGGTGTCGACCCTAACAGGAGGGGGTCCGGCAGGGCCCCTCCTGTGCTCCTGGACTGGGTTAATAACGCCAATCAGAGGAAGCCTGTGAGAAGGGCTGCTGCAGCAGTGTGGACAGGGCAGTGCAGAGACTCCGAGGTGGAGAGAACCGCGCCTGTCCTCAGGCAGCTCAGATTAGGCACGGGAGGCAGAGGAGGGCCCGAGTGGCTGTGCCCTCTGAGACAGTTTGAGCTCAAGTGCAGAGGTCTTGGACGTCGTGGCTAGGACCCTGCACCCCGCACCCCGCAGGCCTTCCTGCAGCCCAGGTTTGAATTGAACTTTGCTTCAGAAAAGCTGATGGTAAAAACGCAGGCCTGGGACAGGGGAGGGAAGGCCACGTGGGTGGGCTAAAGTGGGCAGGATCCCCAGGCCGAAGGCAGGAGCCCATGGTGGGAGTGGGACCCTCGCTGGCTTGTTCTCATCCACTCTCCTTTCCCAGGAATACGAGACGCTGTACGGTGAACACAACCCGCTAGTCCTGCAGACCGAGTCTTGGATTAGAAAGATCACAAGCAACGGGGACTATGAGGCCAGGTGGACCCTAAAGGTCACGTGGGTCGGCGCCCATGCCTATCCTGCCCAGTGGAGCCTCGGGGTGAGTGGGCCCATGGACAGCTCCCTGGGAGCCATCTGGGACTCAGACAGCCTCCAATCCTAGGCAGGGGCTACTCTTCCAAGGCCCGCTCCTGCTCCAGGAAAGATTGCTAGTCATAGCAAGCCCGCCCCACCCGCCCACTGCACCGCTGTTGGCTGAGCACTTGGCCCTTTGCCTATTTGCCTCCCAGCAAACCAGGTGTTATTAGGTTGAAACATAGCAAGTGGCATTTCTGTAAGTCAAAAATGTCTGGCTATCGGCAGTTTCATGTGGCTCCATCTGGTATTATTATCCACATTTTAGGGATGAGGCAGACTGGTGGTTAGAGAGATTAGTAACTTGCTCAGTCACGAAGCCGGCAAATGGCTATGCCAGGCCTGGAGTGGAGGCTCTTCTGACTCCAGCCTCTGGCTCTTAAGCACAAGGCCATTCAACTTTGACATGGGGCTCATGGCGCCCTCTCCTCTGTCCTCCCTCTCAGGACCCCGCTCTTGTAGTCACAAAGTTCTTCCTCATGCCTGGTCTAAAGTCACTCATTTCTTCACTCAACAAAAGTTCACTGGTCACCTCCTGTGGACAAGGCGTGTGCCTTCAGCAAACCCCAGTGTCACCTGATTCAGTCATCCACGCTGTTCAGGTGGAGGGGACAATTTGGGCCATGTCCTTAAATATCTCCCAGGGAGCTGATTAAGTCCCCTCTCGAGCTCTCTGGTATCTTGGCTCAGCTCTCAGGTGCTGGTACCTTTCCCTTACAAACACTTATCTAACTGAATTACAACCCAGAACCCTTTATCTCCCCTCCTGGAAGACAGTCACAAAAAGGCAAATACACGGTGGTAAGTGCTTTCATACCAGGCGGAAGCTGCCCGAACTGACCTGAAACTTGCCAGCCTTTTGGGGCCCATGCCTTTGCTGTGGGCAGACCAGAACAGGTGATGTGCACGTCAAAGCAGGGCTGTGGGATGGGTGGGAGGATGGAAGAGAGGAGACCCCCGCTCACTCACGGGCACCCTGTGTTTGCTTCCACCCACCCCCAGACCAACACCTACCAGGCTGTCCTCTCCACGGACGGGAGCAGGTCCTATGCCCTGTTTCTCTACCAGAGCGGTGGGATGCAGTGGGACGCGGCCCGGCAGGCAGGCAGCCCGGTGCTCACGGGCTTCTCCAGGTAGGATGGGAGGGGCTGTCCGCGCTGAGCGGATGTCAGGAGGGTGCCGAGGGGTCTCACTGCACACACACTCCCTCCCGGCTGATGCTTCCGACTCACACGGGCGCCAGCTCCCACTGGGGCCGGGCATCTGGCTGCTTCACATGAAAAGATCACCCATTTGTCCACACTCCCTTTCCCATCCCAGTCCTCGTCGTTGTAATAATTCCCAGAGCTCTGGCTGCCCTGATTTCCACTGACTTCAGCCTGCCTCTCTTCTCCACTATCACGATCACGGCATCCAAGGCTGACTGCACTCACACTTCATGCACATTGTTGCGTTTGATTATCATGGCCACCCGCGAGGCAGATCCTGTGTATTATCCCCACTCTATGGATCGGGCCACGGAGATACAGGTAGACCAGCAATTTGCCTCAAGTCCCAGGGCTGGGAAGGGGCAACGTAGAGGTTCGAACCCAGACATCTGAGGCTAGAATCTGCCCTCCTGAGAATTACTCACGAACCCAGGGGGCACCCGAAAGCTTAAGTGAAGCCGGAGGTGAAGGGAGAGAAGAGGCAGGGGCTGTGGGTGGTTGAAATGAGGATTCCCCTGTCGCGTGGAGGAGGCTCTTTCCGCCGTGACAGCGCCCCGCTTCTGTTCCCAGAAGCTGGTGTGTGGCAATCAGTGCGAGGGTCACATGTCTCTTGTTCTTGATAATTGCACACGGTCTTCCCTTACGTCAGGTGTGTTCAGGTTACCCCTTTAATCACACTGCTTTCGCTAGTTTTTTGGTGTGCTATGAAGGAGTAAGGACTGGAAGTACCCAACTACCTAGCAATGTCACACGGTCCAAGTGCGCCCGAGGGAGGTGCCACGCAGGGGGGCATCATCCCGCTGCGTCAGGGAGGAGGAAAAGCCCAGGCACCTGGAGTGCAGCTGCAGGCGGCCGCTCCAGGCTTTCCTCCTTCCCGAGCCGTGCTCAGACCCCACACCTGCAGACGGTGATGGAGATGGTGGTGGTGCTGGCAGCACCTGTTGTATTGAGGCCCCACTCAGTTCTGAGCAACTCGCAGGTGTTACTGCATTTAATCCTCACAATACTGCAAGGTAGGTGCTACTGTAATCCCTTTACACAGATGTGAAAACTAAGACTCAGAGAGGGTCAGTAACTTGCCCGTGGTCACCAGGCTAGCTGAATCCGTCACTGTCTAACTCCAGAGACTGGCTCTTAGCATCACAATACACTGTCCCTACAGACTGTCCCTCTCCAATCTCTCTGTTTAAGGGAAACAAGCAGAACGGAGGCCTGAACTCTGCTGTTTCCACACTCATGACCAAGCTGACCTGCCACTTCCTTGCAGCTAGCTATCAGATGTGGCATCGGTTAGAGCCTCCCAACTCTGCCCATCCCTCTTGTCTCCTCTCCTGCTCAGTGCTGGGACTCAACGATGGGGGTCAGATGACCAGCTGCCCCACCGACTGCCTAGCCGGTTGACCAGCTGCTGACTGGCTAGCAGAGTGAATGGCTGCCTTGCAACCGAGAGGCAGGAGCCTATGTCTGGCAGAGGCCTGAGCGTCTTTCCTTTGCCTGCAGCGGAGATGGCTCTTTCGAAAATAGCCCACTGATGTTCCAGCCAGTGTGGGAGAAGTATCGCCCTGACAGGCTCCTGAATTCCAACTTAGGTAAAAGTGCCACCTTACCACACCTGAGCTGGTCTCGAGGCCTCGTTTGTCCTCCAGCCCAGATGCCATCGCAGTCCTAGGGGGCAGCTCCCTGGTATCACCACCATCTTGAAGGGCATCCCCCACACAGTCCAACCTCCTACAAGTCTAAGTGGGACATGGCACTGCCCAGGGGGGCTGCATCTCCTCCCTCGGATGTACCAACCCAAGGGGGCTCTCAGGGGGGCCCAGCTCCTGGAAGTGAGGGCAGGGTCTTGTGGGAGGTGGGATATAAATGGGTAGAATGGACAATACTCCCAAGTGTCCTGTCCAGAGCTGGAATGAGAACCGAGGGGAGATCCCTTAAAATCTACTGCTGGGCAAGGTGGCTCATGCCTGTAATCCCAGCACTTTGGGAGGTTGAGGTGGCAGATCACTTGAGGTCAGGAGTTCGAGACCAGCCTGGGCAACAGGGTGAAACCCTGTCTCTACTAAAAACACAAAAATTAGCCAGGTGTTGTGGTGCACACCTGTAATCCCAGCTACTCAGGAAGTTGAGGCAGGAGAATCGTTTGAACCTGGGAGGGGGAGGTTGCAGTGAGCCGAGATCTCATTACTGCACTCCAGGCTGGGTGGGTGACAGAGCAGGACTCTATCGCAAAAAGAAGATCTACCAAGGAGAGTCCAGAGGTCTGAGGTTCATTATCGTCATTTACTGAGCACCTGCCGTGTGGTAGACACTGTGCTAACAGCCAGAAACATTTTTAAAAGGAAAAAGACCAACTATGTCTGCTCTCAAAGAGCTTTCATGCAGGTAAAAAGACAGGTGTCAGGAGGCAAAGGATGGCGCCTTCTCCATGACTCAGTGTCACGTCCAGAGGCCACAATGGGAAAGAAATCAGTTTTCAAAATGGGATAGGACAAAGGACATTTTAGCCCTAGGAACCAGCCACGTGAATGGTGACGTGTAAATCCAGTTCTATTTGTTCCGTGGCAACCACTTTGGTAATCAGAAACAGACACTAAGTCAGTGGTGGGCGTTGGGAGGAATCGTTGCCCATCTGAATTGGGTCCCATCCCTTGAAGGTGTCCAAAGAGGTGAGAAGTGGCACAGGGGGTGCATTCGTGAGTTTTGGTTGACCCTAAAGCTAAGACAGGGCCTGCAGCCCCAAGCCCTGGGATAAGCCCTTTTTTCCTCCCCATCCCCCAACCCCAGGCCTCCGAGGGCTGCAGTTCTACAGGCTACACAGGGAAGAAAGGCCCAACTACCGTCTCATGTGCCTGCAATGGTTGCGGAGCCAGCCTCAGCGGCCCAGCTGGGGCTGGAACCAGGTCTCCTGCCCTTGTTCCTGGCAGCAGGGACGATGGGACTTACGATTCCGACCCGTCAGCATAGGTGACACCTTCTTCCCGTCCCCCACAAGCCCACCCACCATCCTCTCTGCTCATGCCCTCAGCCTCTCCCCAGAAACAGCCCCCTGCCTGTTCCCGGCCCACCCCCGGCAGCCCCGGCCTGGGGCTGAGCGCGGCTGGACTTGTTTCAGGTCGGTGGGCCCCCGGCAGCAGGCAGCTCTGCAGCTTCACCTCCTGGCGAGGGGGCGTGTGCTGTAGCTACGGGCCCTGGGGAGAGCTTCTTGAAGGCTGGCATGTGCAGAGTCCTCAGCAGTTCGGTGGTGAGTCCACACAGCTCTCAACCCCACCTTCCCAGCCAAGCAGGGACCCTCAGGGTGAAGCCTCTGTCCTCATTCCTTCCCAGGCCCTTCCCCATCTGGGCCTCCATTTCCTGATCTTGTAAAGTGAGGAAGATTCCAACATCCCCACCAGCTAACATTTGGGGATGAAGGAGCTGAGTGCCTCTTCCCCATCTCCACCTGGCCCTGTAGCCCCAGGCCAGAGTGGAGGCAGCTTTCCAGGCAAGAAGAGAGCGCCTAGCCTGACCCCATCCCTGTCGACCCAGATGAGCAGGCTGTTTGGGGGAAGACTGAGTCAGCTCCCGCAGAGACCCTCCAACAGCTGGAGAACACAGGGACCGGGGGTCACGGTGGTCTGTGTCCTCTCGTTCTCTCCCCCGTCCCACGGCAGTTTCCACAGTTCCCGGACTGTCAGCCACACCCTCGCCACTCCCGGTATTTCTTGGCTCTCCACCCTCAAGAAAGGAGATTTGCTTAGCTCCTACCATGTGCTCTGCTGCACAGTCCCCTAGTGCCTGCCAAAGAGACAGCACCCTGTCCGCCGTGCAAGGGCTATGAGAAGGGCCGTGCTGGATTCCAAGGCCATGCTCTTGCCAGTAACACGTCCCGCCCTGCCACGCTCTCCAGCTGGGATCTCCAGGTCCTCGGCCTCCCGGCCTCCCGACTCACTGCTCTTCTCCGCAGCCCAGGAACTGGAGCCGCAGAGCTGGTGCTGCCGCTGGAATGACAAGCCGTACCTCTGTGCCCTGTACCAGCAGAGGCGGCCCCGAGTAGGCTGCGCTGCGCACAGGCCCCCGCGGCCCGGTGAGGGTCAGGTCCAGGCTCAGGCAGAGCATCTGGGGAGGGGAGCTTCTGGGCCTCCGGGACGACGTCTGGAGGAGGAGTAGGGGCAGAGCTGTGGCCACAAGGGAAGACGGAGAGGCTGCCAGTGATGGGGCTGATGGCAAATGGAGGCCCTTTGTACCTGGTGCTGGGGAAGGAGTGAGAAGGGGGGCACGAAGGGGCCTTGAGGGGAGGATTCTATGAGAACATCTCCCCAGCTGGAGCCCACCTGGACAAGTGCCCTAGCCAACTGCAGCAGGGAATCTCAGCCCGACCCATGGTGTGTCATGCTGATGTGCTACCTCTTTTTTCCTTCCAGCCTGGATGTTCGGGGACCCCCACATCACCACCTTGGACGGTGTGAATTACACCTTCAATGGACTGGGGGACTTCCTGCTGGTCCAGGCCCAGGACGGGAACTCCTCCTTCCAGCTGCAGGGCCGCACCGCCCAGACGGGCTCAGCCCAGGCCACCAACTTCATCGCCTTTGCCGCTCAGTACCAGCTCCAGCAGCCTGGAACCCGTCACGGTGCGTGAGGGAGCCTGGGACCTCCTGCATCTCACCACAGGCACCTTCAGCCGGATACTGAGGCCCAGGAGAAGGAAGAGGAGAAAGAAGGGGAAGCCGGGCAGGACGGAGGGAGGTCACGTTCCACCCTCGCAGCTGTCCCGGAGTAAATCCTGGGGATGGCGGGATGAGGGCTCTGGCGCCACGGTCTCCCAGCTGTTTGGTTTCAAAGAAACTACTTGGTTTCTTCTAGTAGGAATGGGGATAATAACATTACCTGCCTCGCAGGCTGCTGTGGGAGTTGAAGGAGATCATCTGAAAACCATGCCTGGCACAGAGCCTGGCCCTGCAGAGCACGCGGTGGGCGTTGGTGGGCACCACCTCCGGCCGAGCCTCCAGCACCTTCCTCCCAGCCCCTCTGCTTCCCTGGGCATCTGCTGCACCTGCGGGTCGGGCTCAGATCCCCTCCCGTCCCCTGCAGGTTCAGTGGCTCCTTGAGCCTCACGACAGAATCCGTGTTCTGCTTGATAACCGGAATGTGACATTTGAACCTGACCACGAAGACGATGGAGGTAGGGCGGGAGTGGGGCTGGGAACGGAGCAGCGAGCAGTGCGGGGAGCCGTGGCCGACAGCCTTTCCCGGGAAGCAGGGCTCTGAGCTCCGGCCTCCCTTCCCCGCCTCCAGTGCGGGGCCCTCCCTGTGTCAGCTCCGGCGAGGGCAGGTGGTGGCAGCCCGGCTGGCAGGTGTCCTGTCGGGTCCGCGGGTGGATCTGGCTTCCTCTTGGCTGCCTCCCTGTGTTCCAGGCCCGGAGACGTTCAGCGCCCCCGGAGTCCTCCTGAGCCGCAGCGGCCCCGGGGTCTCGGCCAGCTTCGATGGCTCCTGCCGCGGTCTCAGTGACCTGCGCTCTCCGGCGTCCTCCACGCGGCCGCCAGCCTCCCGCCGGGGTACCGGGGCCGCACCGCGGGCCTCCTGGGTGAGGCGGCTCAGGACCGGCCCCGCTCGCGCTCGGCTTCCCTGTCCCCGCCTCCCGCAGCACCGAGCGGGCCTTGGGGGGGGACTCCTCCCTGCCTCCGCGGAGGCTCCTTCCTGCCCCCATCCCGCCCTAAGGGAGCCTCAGGGGGTGCGCCCCGGCGAGGCGGGGTGGGGGTTCCCTGCGTCCTCCTCCTTCCTCCCTGCCCCCTACGTCCCTCCCGTCCCCGGCATCTGCCCGCATTCCCTGCAGGACCCAGCAGGTGCAGAGGCAGAGGCCGCCGGTCCCTGGCCGCTCCTCCCTGCGTCCCCCGATGCTCCAGGAAGGGGACAGCCGCGAGCCCAGCGTGGCCGACCTCCCACTCTGTCCCTCAGGGATCTGGAATAACAACCCGGAGGACGACTTCAGGATGCCCAATGGCTCCACCATTCCCCTAAGCAGCTCTGAGGCCATGCTTTTCCACTATGGAATGACCTGTGAGTCTGGGCAGAGTCCTGGGGCAGGTGGGGCAGGATGGGGCAGGTGGGGCAGGTGGGGCAGGTGGGGCAGGTGGGGCAGGATGGGGCAGGCCAGGCTGAGGGGAGCTGGCATGTTCCTGTCATCTCCCTGGGGCCTGTAGGGAAGCAGACCGTCTTTCGCAAGGTCTGAGGAATCTGTGCTACCCAGGCCTGTCCCCTCCACGGCCAACCCACCTGCGCCTCTCCACCTGGAGGAGGGAAGGGCGGCTGGAGGGGCCTCTCCCGTTGCAGCAGGCGTTTCCAGACTCAAGCTGGAAGCCGCTCTGGGCCTGCACTCCCACAGCCGCAAGCCACGTAAAGTGAGGGGTAGGGGTGGACACGGACAAAATGAGGCTGAGTGCCACACCTGATACCCGACCGTCGAGCCCTGTGTGTTACAGGGAAGATCAACGGGACAGGCCTCCTGGGCAAGAGGAATGACCAGCTGCCCTCCAACTTCACCCCTGCTTTCTACGACCAGCTGCAAACAAACAGCTCCTGGGATGAAGACTTGATCTCCAGCTGCAGCGGAGACAGATCCTGCATCTACGACGCCCTTGCCACGCGCAACGCAAGCATCGGACTTCACACGCTGGCGCTCCGTAACACCTACGAGCGGGTGAACGCCACCCTCAGTAAGTGGCCCGAGGCCCCAGGAGGCCTCTTCAGAGCCGGGAGCCGATGAGGAGCAGCCTTCCCTGACCCTGCATGACCCTGCGCATCTGCATTCACCAAGCAGATTCTTCCTCTGCTCAAATCCTCCAGTGACTTCCCGGCTCTCTCCATCCTTACGGTGGCCTTAGGCCTGTTCAGTCTGGTCCCGCCGCTTCCCAGAGATCTTCTCCTCCTGCTACACCCCTTCCCAGCTCCCTCCACTCCAGCCCCGAGGGCTCCTCTGTGTTCTTCAGACACACCGGACTTCAGACATGCTGCTCTCTCACCTGGACAGTCACATGCTTGCCCCCTCCCACCTCCTTTACGCCAATGTCCCCTCCCCAGCAAGGCCTCTCTTGGCCACCCTAAAATGTCACATTCACCCACACTTCCTGTTTGCCTTTCCCGCTTTAGTCTTTTCTCTTTAGCATTTATAATTACTCAACATATTTTATAATTTTCACAGGTATCTTTTTTATGACTCACTAATGACTGTACCCTCACTACCCAGACAGTGCCAGCCACTTAGCTCAATAAATCTTAGTTAAATGACTGAATGGTTGAATGGGTGAGCAAACTGAAATGGAAATGGCAGGGCTCCAAGAAACAGGCCCAAGAAAGGGTTTCCGGACCGCTGTATTTCTGGACAAATGCAATGTCCGTGTAGACGGTCCCCGCCAGGCTCTCAGCCCTTTGCCAAAGGCACAGCTCTGTGATGGTCTAAACAATTGCTCTGCAATTCACTTTTTGTCACACCCCAGCACAGCACTGTGTTCAGGAAAGATTATGAAAGGAAACTTTTTGAGGAGGTGTGGGACAGAAGGAGAACTAAAAATTTGGCTAGGTGGGCAGCACAGTCCCAACCTGCTGTGTTTCGGTCTGAGAGCAGGTACACAGAATAGTTCCTTCTTCCCGAGCTGGGTCCCAGTCCTGGGAACGCCTCACAGTAGACTGTAGCTGAGAAAGAGACGAGGCTGATGAAGCAGGAGACTGTCCTGCCTTGGAACCCCCATCCCCTCTTTGTGTTTCAGATCAGTACCCACCCTCCATCAAGGGCAGCCGTGTGGTTGAAGCGTACAAGGGGCAGACCGTGCTGATTCAGTACACCAGCAATGCTGAGGATGTCACCTTCATGCTCAGAGACAATTGTACTGACTTGAAGCTCTTCAGTAAGAATGTTTGACTGGGGAAAGTGGGGAGGTGGGTAGGGGATGAGGTCAGAATCAGACTTTGGGATTTTTGCATCACTATACCCAGCAAAACTTCCTGTCACTCTTTCATTTGAATATCCAGGACTGGCATTTCTTTGGAACGACACCTATAACTCAAATAGGTGCCCTCCAGGCCAGGTGCAGTGGCTCACACCTGCAATCCCGCACTTTGGGAGGCTGAGGCAGGTGGATCACCTGAGGTCAGGAGTTTGAGACCAGCCTGGCCAACATAGTGAAACCCTGTCTCTACTAAAAATACAAAAATTAGCCAGACATGGTGGTGCATGCCTGTAATCTCAGCTGCTTGGGAGGCTGAGACAGGAGAATCGCTTGAACCTGGGAAGTGGAGGTTATGGTGAGCCAAGATCGTGCCATTGCACTCCAGCCTGGGCAACAAGAATGAGACTCCATCTCAAAAAAAAAAAAAAAAATAGGTGGCCCCCAGTAAGTAGTAATGACGGGCTTATGGTGAATTTGGCCAGATAGCTAGAGTGACTCTGGGCACACAGAACAGATTCAAGGCTGGGCGTGGTACCTCTCAGACCTGTCATCCCAGCACTTTGGGAGGCCAAGGTGGGCAGATCACCTGAGGTCAGGAGTCCCAGACCAGCCTGGCCAACATAGTGAAATCCCTTCTGTACTAAAAATATAAAAGATAGCCAGGCATGGTGGCAGGCACCTGTAATCCCAGCTACCTGGGAGGCTGAGGCAGGAGAATCACTTGAGCCCACGAGGCAGATGTTGCAGTGAGCTGAGATCGAGTCACTGTACTCCAACCTGAGCAACAGAGCAAGACTCCACCTCAACAAAAAAGGAACTGATTCAAAGATTGTCTCATCTCAATCTGATCATATGCAGTCGTCTTTAATTACTATGCATTCACCAAATTATTAGAAAATCAAGTGCAACAGTTTAAAAGTACCAATTACAACATTTTTATACCTATTAAAGGAAGCATCTAATATAGGACAAAATTTAAAGAAATATAAAAAATACTTTTGTTTACTACCTTTCTTGCTCTTTTTATGTGTGGTAACCATGTTTACGCAGCTGTGTCTCCTCGTCTGGTTTCCTGGACTAGGGCCCGGTAAGGCGTCATGGGTCCCTCTCTGTAAAGGTGTGAGAGACTCCGAGGCCTGCATCCATGATCAGGGCCAAAGGGTCAAAGCACAGGGGACGCCGCTGTCTGTCTGTTGCCAGCACTAATTCTGCGGGGGCTGTTCTTGGCCAAACCAAAGCCCCCAGGGAGCGTGTTCTGCATTCCCTTTGCCTCTGCCTGAGTTTCTTTCTCTCCGTGTGTCAGAAGGGACCGCTGTGCCTGCACCCCCTTTGCCCACGTGTGTCCTCCCAGGTGTAAGACAATGGCACTGGGAGATTTTCTTCTCCACCGGGCTCCACCCTTGAAGAATGAGGGTCTGGAAATTACGTTCGTCTGTCACTTCCTTTCAATCTGCTGTTTTAAGGAGACTTTCCTATTTTCTTGAAAAATATAAGTTTGATCAGAAGATGTGTCGCCGTGTTTCCCTCTAGTCCGGTGTCTGAAGCGGGTGTCTGGTCAAAGGTCCAGGAAGTGGGGGTGGGTGAGAAATCAGGGCGAAGGCTGGGGCCGCTGTGACACTGAAGCCAGTCTGACTGGCAGCGTAGCCTGGGGAGGTGTCTGGAGGATCCTGGCCTTATCCTGCATCCCCTGGATGGCCCATCCTAGTGCAAGCCCAGGCGGGGCTGCCCTTTGGGGTTTCTTCAGGGGAGAACTGCTCTCCCCTCTGTGGCGTCCCCTGCTACAATCAGTAAGTTGGGCTGGTGCGACCTCCTTCCAGCTGGGGGTGTGACCAGCATTACCCCTGCATACCAGCCTTGCTCAAAGAAAATGACCAGTGAGATCTGTCTGGGGCAGGGGGAGGGTGATCTGAGAGGGGTGGGGGAAGCCCGCATCAGCAATCGGGGTGTTAGATGCCAGGAGGCATCAGACCGCAGAGCAGAGGAGTCTCCCAGCTCTCAACGATCTCATTTTCCCCGGGGCAGAGAATGGGACATTGCTGTGGACACCCAAGTCGCTGAAGCCATTCTCTCTGGAGATTCTAGCAAGAAGCGCCAAGACCAACCTGTCGTCTGCTCTCCAGCCCAGGACCACGGTCTGCCACTGCACTGCGAAGAGCCAGTGTTTGTACAACCAGACCAGCAGGGTGGGCGGCTCCTCCCTGGAGGTGAGCGTCGGGAGGAGGGCGGAGGAGCTTCTGTGCTGAGGGGCGAGGAAACGGGAGGTGAAGGGACGCTGTGTTTCCGCCTCTCCTGGGCATGTCTGTGCTGGGAGGTGGCTGGAGCTGTGGTAGATGCGTAGAGTGGATACGGGTCTTAGGCCATAAACTCACCTGGGAAGAAAGAGAATCTTTTTTTTCTTTGAGACAGGGTTTTGGTCTTGTCGCCTAGGCTGGAGTGCAATGGCACAATCTCGGCTCACTGCAACCTCCGCTTCCTGGGTTCAAGCGATTCTCCTTTCTCAGCCTCTTGCGTAGCTGGGACCACAGGCACCCGCCACTATGCCCGCTAATTTTTGGTATATTTAGTAGAGACGGGGTTTCCCCGTGTTGTGTTGACCAGGCTGGTCTCGAACTCCTGGCCTCAGGTGATCCGCCCGCCTCAGCCTCTCAAGTGCTGGGATTGCAGGGGTGTAGCCACCGCCTCCGTCCTAGAGATCTTTCTTTATTGCTCATAGTTGAACTGAATGTTTATCTCCCACCTCCCATTCTGCTAGGTTGGCAGGAAACTTCCACCTCCATCTTTCTCACAGTGCCCAGTGGTTCCCAGTTCCACAGTTCTGCGGCCAAGCCCAGCAGAGCGCCCTGAGGTGTGAGGTGGGAGGTGGGCATGGGTCCCTGGGCATGAGTCCACAAGGTTTCCATCACAGCTCTGCCCTCCCTCCGTCTCCCCTTCAGACCCAGGGAGATGCTTTGCCCTTCTGCGCCTTGCTCAGACACAGGAAACCATTTACGAGGCCGCTCGTGGTCCCGTCTGCCTAGAAGCCCCTCACAGCATTTCTCCCTGGATACCATCATCGCGGTGCTGGGGAGAGAGCTGCGGGTCCCCTCTCTCCTGGCAGCTCCAAGCCCCTTTGCTTTTTCTTTCACTCTCTCCTTTCAGCTAAAAGAAACATCTTTTCCAGTTTGGAGACATTACTTTTCCATGTTTCCAGCCAAGATACTTGGCCTCATTCCGCAACTCTTGTCCTATCTGCGTTTTTATTTTTGTTTTTGGTTGTAAAGAAAGAGCCAGAAAGGAAAGTGTTTATCTGGCAACACAAGCCACCTCCTTCACCCCTTACACACACACACACACACCCTACCCCCTTCTGAAGCATGAGCAGAGAATGAGCACTTGAAAGGGATAGAGGCAGGGAGGGTTGGCGAGTAAACTACACAGTGGGAAAAAGAGAGATTGAGATCCATATGCTATTCTCTATGTCCCCAAATAGCCACTCTTGGGAGTAGAACGTGTTAGAGGTTCCACTTTAGGGAGATTCCCTGAGTCATTTCAGTAAGGGAGTTAGAAACGGGGTCAGGGAGCTTGGGGGAACCACATACAGCCTTTGCTGGGCTATTGTTCTGGTTGCTGCGTTTTCTTACGGTGCTTAGCAGGGAGGCTCTGTTTTCCTGGCTTGGGAGTCAGCAAAGGAGGTCAAAACTTCAGCTTATATGAAATCCAGTTTGCAGGCCACATGGGAGGCTGAGGCAGGCAGACTGCTTGAGCTCAGGACTTAACCAGCCTGGGCAATATGGCCAGACCCCATGTCTACTAAAAATCAAAAAATTAGCTGGGCCTGGTGGCACATGCCTGTAATCCCAGCTTTTTCGGGAGGCTGAGGCACAAGAATTGCTTTCATTCGGGAGGTGGACATTGCAGTGAGCCGAGACTGAGACACTACACTCCAGCTGGGCAACAGAATGAGACTCTGCCTCATTAAAAAAAAAAAAAAGAGAGAGAGAGAGAGAGAAATACAAAAAGTGGGCATGATAGCACACGCCTGTAGTCCCAGCCCCTCCCTAGTGGGAGGCTGGGAGGTGGGAGGACAGCTTTTGAGCCTGGAGGTGGAGGTTGCAGTGAGCAGAGATCGAGACACTGCCCTCCAACCTGGGTGACAGACTGAGACACTGTCTCAAAATAAATAAATAAATTAGGAATCCAGTTTTCAGGCAATAGTAGAGCATACATGCATACATACACACACGCACACACTCATTTCAGTCACGCATTCAATCATTCATTCATCCCCTGTCTTACTCTAGAAAGGATTTCAGGCAAGGACCTAGAGTGCGAGAGGGAAGAGGCCGAGCTCCTGGTGCAGGACCAGGCAGGGGTCAGGGTGAACAATGACCCAGGGAGGCCCACTGGGCAGCGCTACCGTGTGGCTTCAGGCAGGGCCCTGCAGCCCCCAGGCGTGGTCAAGACGGTGCTCAGTAGGGGCTGGCGGAGCTGAGACATGACTCAGGGTCCACAGGTTCTCAAGCCAGAGGGATCCGTCAGAAACGCCCAGAAGCCCTTACTAGTTTGGTTTCCTGGCCGCCCTGTGATCAGCAACCTTTCTCCAGGTGGCTGGCTGCAAGTGTGACAGGGGCACCTTCGGCCGGTACTGCGAGCGCTCTGCGGACGCCTGTGAGGAGCCCTGCTTTCTGAATGTCAGCTGCATTCCCGGGAAGGGCTGCGAGGCCTGCCCTCCAGGCCTGACTGGGGATGGGCGGCACTGTGCTGGTGAGCTGGGAACAGGGCCTGGAGGAGGGGCTTCGGCGACAGCTGGTAGCTCAGTGTGGAGATCGCCAAAGGCTGTCCCTTTCTCTCCCTTTTCCAGTACGCTCAGAATGCTCAGGCTAGGTAGGTATGGGAAATGTAGGCAGGCTTGGAAAGGGGGTGGCAGATGGTGTGGGGCTGAAGGAGAAGAGGTTGTACAGGCACAGGGGAGGGGACAGCACTCAGCATCCCTGAGACATTGATGGGGAAAAGACTGAAGATGGTCTGGTGAAGAGAGGGGACTTCAGCGGCCAGCGAACCAGGAAAGCTGGGTCCTTGGGCTCCCTAGGCGTCTTCAGAGACGGGAGGCCCAGGTCTCTGCATCTCACAAATCAGGACATTTGGGGGTGCTGGCATGGGGACCCAGCAGTAAGGTGCCTGATTTTCCCTTTGAGTCCTCCCCGCCATCTGTCCCTCCCGCTCTGAGCCACCATAGTCTGATGAGGGAGATCAAGTGAGGCCTTTACCCAGCCCCCTAAGGCACCCACATAAAATCTAGAGATCACTGTGTCTGTCTTCAGATCCAAGGCCAGAGTGGGTGGGGCTGCAGCTTTGATAAAGGCAGAAAAGGAGACAGAAGTGAGGGGGAGAGTGTGAGGACAGCCGACTGGGCCCCTCCTCTGCCAGCCTTTGGGGTCCTTTCTGAAGCAGAGGGTCTGAGAAACACTCCACTCCCGCTGCAGAAGTGGAAGAACACCTGCCTGGCCGAGGAAGAGTGTTTCCCTGCAGAGAAATGCCTGGAAAAGGGGAGGAGGAGGGTTTGGGGTTCCGAGTGGCCCACGGCAGAACATGGCAGGAAAGAAGCCAGGCCTGTCCCAGAGCGCGTTCCCTCTGCCGCCCGCTGCTGCTGACCTCCCTGCTCCTTCTGCAGCTCTGGGCAGCTCTTCCCTCTGTCGGAACCAGTCCTGCCCCATGAATTATTGCCACAATCAAGGCCACTGCTACATCTCCGAGGCTCTGGGCTGCCGGCCCTCCTGCACCTGCCCCCCAGCCTTCACCGATGGCCACTGCCTCCTGGCTGGAAACAACTTCACTCCGACCGTCAGCCCAGGTACCACCGGATGCCCTGCCATCCCCGCCTTTGGGGAAGATGGGGAAGCTCTGGGGTCACAGCACAGAGCTCCGGGTTTCTCTGGGATGCTGTAAGGTGTGGGCTGCGGGAGCTGGTGAGGGCCGCTGTCACGGCGAGGACCATGGGCCTGTGGACCTACTGAGGAAGGGTGGAGGCAGAGACCTCATAGCTGGCTCAGGGAGGCCCTGACCAGAATGGAATGAGCACTAGGGTGAGGATCACTTCTCCCGATTTCTTCAGTGACCTTCTGTCACTGTGGAGTGGAGTAGTTTCCCTGGGCTGGCCCAACAAACTTCTTGGGTAAGTCTGGGTAAACCATGGGGTGATGATGAATTTCCTTCTCCCATCTCCAGAACCTCCCTTAAGAGTCATCCAGCTCTTGCTCAGCGAAGAGGAAAATGCCTCCATGGCAGACGTCAACGCCTCGGTCAGTGCTGCAGGCTTCGCTCGGGGTGGCAAGGAGAGCTTGGGGGTTCAGGCCGGGGCCGAGCCATCGCCTGGCATCCTTCATCTTGTCATCTATCTGGATTCAACTGCCAGAGGAGGCCGGAGCCTCTTGCCCCATGGGAGGTGCAGGTGGTTAGGAAGTGAGGAAGGGCCGGGCGTGGTGGCTCAAGCCTGTAATCCCAGCACTTTGGGAGGCCGAGGCGGGTGGATCACGAGGTCGAGAGATCGAGACCATCCCGGTCAACATAGTGAAACCCCGTCTCTACTAAAAATACAAAAAATTAGCTGGGCATGGTGGCACGTGCCTGTAATCCCAGCTACTCGGGAGGCTGAGGCAGGAGAATTGCCTGAACCCAGGAGGCGGAGGTTGCGGTGAGCCGAGATCGCGCCATTGCACTCCAGCCTGGGTAACAAGAGCGAAACTCTGTCTCAAAAAAAAAAAAAAAGGAAGTGAGGAAGGCCCAGGACAGAAACCTCAGAAGGGGCTGGAGTCACCAACTCGTCATGAGCAGAGGCCGGGGTGCCAAGTCACCCGTTCCCTCGTCCTCTGCCCTAGGTGTCATACAGACTGCGGACCCTGCGCGTGCGGGCCTTTCTCTACAACAGCGAAGTGAACCGAATGTAAGTGGGACGGTGACCCCTGAGCCCCCAGGTCTTCTTCCTCACCGGCCCCCGGCCCCCCTCACCGTGGCCCTCCCGTGCAGCGATTCCCCGGCACCGGCCTCAGGGAAGCCCCGTTCGATACTGGACGGTCACGTCGCAGTTCCAGTACCGCCCTGGGGGCCCTGTCATCCACTTCCTGAACGACCAGCTGCTGGCCGCGGTGGTGGAGGCGTTCTTACACCAGCGCGTCCCGCGCAGGAGTGAGGAGCCCAGGAACGACGTGGTCTTCCAGCCCCTCTCCAGGGAAGACGTGAGCGACGTGACCGCCCGTGAGTCAGTCCAACTGGGGACAGTGTGGGACAGCGTGGGGGGCGGGGAACCGAGCGTGCCTCAGCCCACGCATACACGTCAGTTTAGGTTTTGTTTGTTTGGTTTTGAGAGAAAACGCGAACATTTTATCCAGTTGCTTTTTAGATTCAAGAGCAGCAGCGCCCAGCGCTGCTGAGGCAGCCATGTGCATACGGCTCCCGCGGAGCGAGCACTCCAGCCCCAGCCCTGCTGATGGCGGCTGCTCAGGAAACAGCAGCAATTCATTTTCATAAAATTGCTGCTGGTTTTCTTAAAGTGCCATTGCACTTAAACAGGCACAAGGGCATCCCATCGTCTCTGCCCTCCAGCTGGAGGACATGAAGCTGGAGACTGGCCAGGGAAGGGTGTGCAAGCACTTACCCCAGGCCAGGCCTCAGTACCCCTGCTGAAAATGAGGTGGGATTTCGGAGCCGCCTTTCAGTGCTGACAGTCCAGCCCCTGTTCTCCGGGAACAGGGATAAGTTGGCGAGCTTGTCAGAGAAAGAAAAGAATAACGCACCTTATTTTCTGGATGGGGCAGAGAACAGAGCAGTGGCCATCCCAAACACAACAGAAACTGCTGTTTGACAAGAGCTTCTTCTAGAATCCAGGTTAAGCCCCCTCTCTTCTGGAGGAATAAGATGAAATCCCTCAGAACTACTATACGTTGGCGAGTTGGGGTAGGAGGAGCAGGAAGGAAGCTCTGATTGTGCTATTAAAGAAAACCTTGGCCAGGCACGGTGGCTCACGCCTGTAACCCCAGCACTTTGGGAGGCCAAGGCGGGTGGATCACCTGAGATCAGGCGTTTGAGACCAGCATGGCCAACATGGTGAAACCCTGTCTCTACTAAAAATACAAAAATTAGCCAGGCATGGTGGCACGCAGCTATAATCCCAGCTACTCAGGAGGCTGAGGTGAGAGAATAACTTGAACCCGGGAGGCGAAGGTCGTGGTGAGCTGAGATTGTGCCACCGCACTCCAACCTGGCAACAGAGTGAGACTCTGTCACAAAAAAAAAAAAAAAAAAAAAAGATAACCTGTAATTTTTTTTTTTTCTTGAGACAGAGTTTCCCTCTTCACCCAGGCTGGAGTGAAGTGGCATAATCTTGGCTCACTGCAAACTCCACCCCCCAGGTTCAAGTGATTCCCCTGCCTCAGCCTCCTGAGTAGCTGGGATTATAGGTGCATACCACCACGCCCAGCTAATTTTTGTATTTTTAGTAGAGGCTGGGTTTCACCATGTTGGCCAGACTGGTCTTGAACTCCTGACCTAAGGTGATCCACCCGCCTTGGCCTCCTAAAGTACTAGGATTACAGGCATGAGTCACCGTGCCTGGCTGAAAACCTAAAATTTTTATTATATAAGTATCATATGTTTATTGCAGAAACTTTAGGAAACATACATTTAACAAAAAGAAGAGAGAAGATAGAAAAACCTGTAATTCCAATCCCCAGAGACAATATTTTGTACATATCCTTCTGAACTTTCTTTTATGCCTAGGAACCTTCACACACTGGTTTTTTATTGAAGGATCAAATCGTTCCTAATGTTTGATAACCTCCTCCTTAAACAGTTGTGAACAGAGTATCTCATATATTGTGTCCATATTCCCATTGGACATATTGCCTTATAATGGTATGTATGAATATAGTGGCATATTTTAAAATGTGTTATAATAGTCATTTCCATTTTTTGAGTGTTTACTGTGTGTTGGGCAGTGTACTAAGTATTGTGGACATATTATCTCATTTAAATCTCACAGCAGCGTAAGTTCCTATGCTTTTAAACATAAGGAAACTGAGGCTGCACGAGGTAAGGAATGTTCCCTGAATCACACAACTAGTTACGAGCAGAGTTTGAGTTTCGACTCCGGTCTGGCCACCTTCAAAGCATTTTCCAAAGGAAACTGTCATCCCTTGGTAGCGATATGCAGTAGTTTATTTAACCAGACCCCACTTCTGAAACGTTCTCACCATTCTCCAGCGCGCTGATCGGAATGTCCAGGGACGTATGTATCTGCATGTCTCTGGTCGTTCCTCAGGAGGATTTCCTGTTCACCGGCTGCTCTCTGTGTTCACCTGTGTTCCTCCTGACAGTGAGCGTGAGCATGCTGAGGGCTTACTTCACATGCAGTGGCTATGAGGGCTACGACCTGGTTTACGACCCCCAGAGCGGCTTCACCTGTGTGTCCCCGTGCAGTAGGGGCTACTGTGACCATGGAGGCCAGTGCCAGCACCTGCCCAGTGGGCCCCGCTGCAGGTGCGTAGGGCCACGGCCAGGAGGTGGATGAGTGCTGGGGAGCCCAAGCTGGGCCAGACCCTGCAAGGGCCCAGGAATTAGGATGGCTCCCTTTGAGATCGGAGAGAAATCGGAGACCAGGGAAGAGGGGACAGTGGAAGAAAGGAGGGTTGTGAGTGCCTGCTTTGTGTGGAGAAGAAAGGCACTATACCACCTCTGAGACCCAAAGGAGCCACAGTGGGGCACTAGAACCATTTCCAAGATGAGAACATGGCAGCTGAGAGCTGGGAAGGAAACTACCCGAGGGCCCAGTAGGTTAAGAGCAGGGTATGGTTTCTAAAGCCAAACTTTTTTTTTGTTTTTTGAGACTGAGTATCTCTCTGTCACCCAGGCTGGAGTGCAGTGGTGTGTTCTCAGCTCACTGCAACCTCTGCCTCCCGGGTTCAAGTGATTCTCCTGCCTCCACCTCCCCAGTAGCTGGGATTACAGGTGCGTGCCACCACGCCTAATTTTTGTATTTTTGTTTTTTGTTTTTGGTTTTTTTGTTTTTAGTAGAGACGGGGTTTCACCATGTTGACCAGGATGGTCTTATCTCTTGACCTCGTGATCCACACGCCTCGGCCTCCCAAAGTGCTGGGATTACACCACGCCTGGCCTTAATTTTTGTATTTTTAGTAGAGATGGGGATTTCACCATGGTGGTTCAGGCTGGTCTTGAACTCCCAACCTCAGGTGATCCACCCGCCTTGGCCTCCCAACGTGCTGGGATTACAGGCGGGAACCACCATGCCCGGCCTAGGACCCACTGTTTTAAAGCCTACACCTGCCTCCTTTGCCCAGTGGTCTCTTCAGCATGACGTCAGGGCTGACTCAGTCTCTCTCCAGAGAGTGGGGCGAGCTCAGCCTCTCCTGGAGAACCTCCTCTGCCCCAGCAGAAGAAGAGAGGCTGGGAGGCTGAACACCGCCGTGACCACACTGTCTCTCTCTCCGTCCCCAGCTGTGTGTCCTTCTCCATCTACACGGCCTGGGGTGAGCGCTGTGAGCACCTCAGCATGAAACTCGAAGCGTTCTTCGGGATCTTCTTCGGGGCCCTCGGGGCCCTCTTGCTGCTGGGGATCGGGATGTGTGTGGTCCTGCATTTCTGGGGCTGCTCCAGGACCAGATTCTCCTATCCTCTGGACACGGAAAGCTGAGGCCTCGCCTTGAAGGGGCAGCTGTGGCCTAGGGTACCTCAAGACCCACCCCATCCTCACCACACACCTAAGACGCCATTGCTTTTGGGAGACTGGAAAAGGGAAGGTGACTGAAGACTACTGGGATTCTTCAAGGAGAATGAATACTGGGCCTCAAGACAAGACTATGCCTTGTGGGTAGGCGCAGGGGCACATGGGGAGGCCATAAGGACCAAACGTGCATGATGGGTCCTCACACAGACACACCCACACCCACAGGAGGACACTGGCCTGTGCCACACACACGCATGCACACACCTACACACACACACATACATGCACATGCACACACACGCATGCATGCACACACCTACACACACATACATGCACACACACACGTGCACACAAACACGTGTGTGCATGGATACACACGTGTGCACACGCACACATACATGCACATGTGTGCACACACAAACACATGTACACACACGGACACACGTGTGCACACACGCACACATGCACACACGCATGCCAGGTTTCATCATGCAGGGATGGCTCTAAGTTAACCAAAAGGCTTCTGCACACAAAACTCTCTGGTTTACTTCTAATTAAAGTCTATTTAAATAAAGTCCCTCTGACTTTCTTTGGTCTTCAAACGCAGGGATTCTACTCCTGATTTTCTTCTGGTGGCCAAAGGGCTGGACACAGGCTTCTCCCAACCATCTGAGGGCACAGGGTGTGGAGGTGGCGTGCTGGGCAGGTGGTAGAGGAGTGGGGGCAGCTGGTCCAGCCCTGGTCAGCCATTGGTTACCCATGTTGGAAATCCTCCGCTGCTCCCCAACCTTGCCTTATGCTCCACATTACCTGCTTCTTCCCCCACCCAACACAGGCCAGAGTTTCACCCTCTAAGGAGGACAGAGATACCCCAAGATGGAGTGCCCCAGACTCTCTGTCCTGGGACCCCTCCCTGCCTGCTTGTCCATCAATCTCACAAAACTGTAAAAGGGATAAATGCAGTGTCTTTTCCTGTCTGGTGGCTGTCCCCACACCCATGTGTCATGGAAGAGGGATTAGACCATTTTGGCTCCCTGTCCAGGAACCAACTCAAGAAACGTGCCCCTACCCACCTTTAGATCTGGAGGACCTGATCCCTAATAGACCTCCTCCGTCCTTTCCGGGACCCCAGATGGAGTGCTCTGAGGTTCTGCATCCCACAGCCCCTCAGCCCTACCCTGCCTCTAGTCCCCAGCAACCTGATCAGCTCCCACATAATACTCTCAGCAGGCAGGACTCTTAAACCTATCTGGTGTAGCAACTCCAACACAGTTGGTCCGCAATTCCTGCAAAACCTCAATTCCAACTTTATGCAGAAACTAGGTAGCTACCTCTTAGTTCTAAATTCCAAATCCCTGAAGAGAGAATCTGGTTGGTCCAATTTACATCAATTGTTTATGCCTGGTCCAATAAAATGCAACCATGGGGTGAGAAAGGGGGTCACGTGGTGCAAAGTCGATGTTCAAGCTCACTCTTGTAGGTGCGTAAGTGGTGTGAAGGAAGCACCCAGAGATATATGATCTTGATTGGGTGCGGTGGCTCACGCCTGTAATCCCAGCACTTTGGGAGGCCAAGGCAGGCGGATCACTTGAGGCCAAGAGTTTGAGACCAGCCTGGCCAACATGGTGAAACCCTGTCTCTACTAAAATACAAAAATTAGCCAGGCATGGTGGTGCATGCCTATAATCCCAGCTACTGAGGAGGCTGAGGCAGGAGAATCTCTTGAATCTGGGAGGTAGAGTTTGCAGTGAGCTAAGATCATGCCACTGCACTCCAGCCTGGGTGACAGAGCTCGCCTCTCTCTCTCCATATGTGTGTGTGTGTGTGTGTGTGTGTGTGTGTGTGTGTATATATATATAAAACCTCTGTACTAGGGTTCTCTAGAGGGACAGAACTAATAGATGTGTATACGAAGGAGAGTTTATGAAGGAGTGTTGACTCACATGATCACAAGGTGAAGTTCCACAACAGGCCGTCTGCAAGCTAAGAAGTAAGGAAGCTAGTCTGAATCCCAAGACCTCAGAAGGAGGGAAGCCGATGGTGCAGCCTTCAGTCTGCAGCCAAGGGCCCGAGGGCCCAGGGCAAACCACTGTGTCAGTGCACGAGTCCAACAGCTGAAGAACCTGGAGTCCGACATTTGAGGGCCGGAAGCACCCAGCGAGGGAGAAAGATGAGGTTGGAAGACTCAGCAAGTCTAATCCTTCCATGTTCCTCTGCCTGCCTTGCTCTGGGCATGCTGGCAGCTGATTAGATTGTGCCTACCCGGATTCAGGGTGGGTCTGCCTCCTCTGGTCCACTGACTCAAATATTAGCCTCCGTTGGCAACACCCTCACAGACACACCAGGAACAGTACTTCGCATCCTCAGTCCAATCAAGTTGACACTCACTATTTGCCATCGCAGTCTTTGATCTGAGCAGACCCCAAACTGTCCGCTCTATATGGAGAATGACTTCTCCCAGTAGTCGAAGCCACTGTCTTACGTACAGAGCTGTAGCTTTACCATCAGACTCCTCAAAGTGTAACGTAATGAAGTCTCCATACAAAACTACAGTCACAGCATTCATTTACCAAGAATTAAGCACACAACACAGAGGGGTTCGCTGGTGAATTATACCAAATATTTAAGGAGAAAATAATACCTATTTTCTGCAATCTTTTCCAGAAGACAGAAGCAGGACTACTCCCTAAGTCATTTGTCACTCTAATACCAAAACCAAAGACATCACCAGAAGACTACAGACCAGTACCTCTCACAAAGATGCAAAAATTAGCAACAAAATACTAGCAAATCAAGTTCAACAATATGTAAAAAGAATTATAGGCCATGACGGCCGGGCGCAGTGGCTCACAGCTGAAATCCCAGCACTTTGGGAGGCCAAGGCGGGCAGATCATGAGGTCAGGAGATTGAAACCATCCTGGCCAACATGGTGAAAAATACAAAATTATCTGGGTGTGGTGTGGCATGCCTGTCATCTCAGCTACTCCAGAGGCTGAAGCAGGAGAATCACTTGAACTTGGGAGGCGGAGGTTGCAGCGAGCCGGTATCATGCCACTGCACTCCAGCCTGGTGACAGAGCATGACTCTGTTTCAAAAAAAAAAAAAAGATTGTAGGCCATGACCAAGAGGGATTTATCCCAGGTGTGCAACTGGTTCAATATTCAAAAATCAGCTAATACATCAACGGGCAAGAAGAAAAATTACATGATCGTATCAGTAGATGTAGGAAAAGCATTTGACAAAATCCAACCCCTGTTCATGATAAAAATTCTCAGTAAATTAGAAATAAGAACTTCCTCAACTTGATAAAGATTATCTACAAAAGCCTACAGCTAACATCATCCTTAATGGTGAGAAACTAGATGCTTTCCCCTAAGATTAGGAAGCAGGCAAGGATGTCCCCTGTCACTATCGCTTTTCAACATCACACGGAGGTCTTGGCCAGTGCAACAAGGCAAAAAAGGGAACTCAAAGGCTTATAGAATAAAAAGGAGGAGATAAAACTGTTTTTGTTCACAGATGTCACAGTCATCTACGTAAAAGAATCTAAGAGCTGACAGAAGGAAAAAACCCTAGAACAAAGAAACAATTTCAGCCAAGTTTCATGATGTAAGGATAGTGTCCCAGCGTTAACAGATTTCTTGTGTGCCAGCAAAGAACAATTGGAATTTAGAATTTAAAATATTTGAGCAAGACAGGAAACAAAAAAAAAAGAAAAAAGAAAAGAAAATTTAAAATACATTACCATTTACATTAGCATCCCCCAAAATGAAATACTGAGACATAAATGTAACAAAATATGTACAAGATCTATATGAGGAAAACTACAAAACTCTGATGAGTATCAAGGAAGAATTTCATAAATAGGAAGATATTCTATGTTCATGAATAAGAAGACTCAACTTTTTTTTTTGAGACAGAGTCTCCCTCTGTCACCCAGGCTGGAGCGCAGTGGCACCATCTCAGCTCACTGCAATCTCCGCCTCCCAAGTTCAAGTGATTCTCCTGCCTCAACCTCCCAAGTAGCTGGAATTGCAGGTGCCCACTATCACACCTGGCTAATTGTTTTGTATTTATAGTAGAGACAGGGTTTTGACATTTTAGCCAGGCTGGTCTCAAACTCCTGACCTCAGGTGATCCAACCACCTCTGCCTCCCAAAGTGTTGGGATTACAGGTATGAGCCGCTGCACCAGGCCAAAAGACTGAACGTTATCAAGACAGCAGTTCTCAACATTAAGACAGCAGCAGATCAAGATAGCTAACTTGATCTACAGATTCTACATAATAACACAATCTTCATCAAAATCCCAGAAAGTTATTTGTGGATATTAGTAAACTGGGTCTAAGTTTATGTGGAGAGGTAAAAGATCTAAAACAGTCAACTCAATATTGATGGCGAACAGTCACAGGACTAGCACACCTGACTTCAAAGCTTACTCTAAAGCTGTAATAATGAAAACAGCATGATACTGGCAAAAGAATAGACAGATAGATCATTGGAACAGGATAAAGAGCCCAGAGTATTAAAAGTAATATTTCTAATAGACCTATATAAAATGTGTCAACTGATCTTTGACAAAGGAGCAGAGGCCACACAATGGAGCACAGTGTTTTCAACAAATAGATGCTGGGACCACTGGACATCAACACACGAAAAAAAAATCTAGACACAGACCTTACACATTTCATAAAAATGCAAAATGAATCATAAACCTCAGTAAAATGCAAAACTGTAAGACTCCAGGAAGATAACAGGAGAAAACCTAAATGACCTTGGGTATGGTAATGGCTTTTTAGATACGATAGCAAAGGCGTGATCCACGAAGGAAATAATTGATGAGCTGAACTTCATTAACATTGAAACCTTCTTCTCTGTGAAAGGCAATGGCTAGAGAATGAGAAGACTAGTTGCAGACTGGGAGAAAATGTTTGCAAAAGTCACATCTGATAAAAGACTGTTATCTAAAATATACAAAGAGCCGGGTGCAATGACTCACACCTGAAATCCCAGCACTTTGGGAGGCCGAGGGGGGTGGATCACTTGAGATCAGAAGTTCAAGACCAGCGTGGACGATATGGTGAAACCCTGTTTCAACTAAAAATACAAAAATTAGCTGTGTGTGGAGGCACCCGCCTGTAATCCCAGCTACTTGGGAGGCTGAGGCAGGTGAATTGTTTGAACCCAGGAGGTGGAGATTGCAGTGAGCCGAGACCATGCCACTGTACTCCAGCCTGGGTGACAGAGCAA